TGAATCACAGATTCATCACTAAAGTGTTTGAGACGTTTCTGGTGTCGAACCGTATGTTTATGGTCATGGAGTTGGCCACTGGCGGCGACCTCTTGGACATCCTTAAAGAGAATGAGGGACCGCTCGAAAACTCCAAATCCCGTTATATATTCAGACAAATCGCAGAGGCGTTGAAATACATGCATTCAGAAGGCATTGTTCATCGAGACCTCAAGTGTGAAAACGTACTCATTTTTGACAACAAAAAAGTGGCCAAATTGACAGACTTTGGATTCGCGCGCACTGTATATCTCCACACAACGGGTCGCCGACTATTGACAGAAACCCAATGCGGAACAATTGCTTACGTCTCCCCCGAACTGCTGGGCGGCCGTCCCTTCGACTCTATGGCCAGTGACTGCTGGAGTCTTGGCGTCATTCTGTATGTGATGTCAACCACGAAATTACCGTTCAATACACGCCATCAAAGACGCAGACAACTGACCAAAAGGTATAAACTGCCGGAAAGAATACACAACGACTGCAAAGACATCATCAAAAAGTTATTGGAACCGACGGTCAGCGAAAGGCTTAAGATGGACGCCGTTTTACAACACCAGTGGATCAGTCAAGTGATAGTTTAGTCGAAGACAGTTCTCATCGTTAAGCACTGAAAAATCTAATTTTCAATGAAAAATATCTCAATTATGATGTTATTTAACACATAATGTTTAGTCAAATTCAACGATAAAAAAGATTTTATTAATAAAATAAGTTTTAGTAAATTTGAGTGGTTTTTGGTTAATATCTCTGTTTTTCAAACAATTGATTTATTTAAACAATTCCTATACAAAGCTTACATCAAATAACAATTTTAATATTCAGTTTTGTGTCAATCGGTGTACAAAAAGTAGAATTTAAAAAAGTTTTCATTTTTAATGACAGTATTCTTATACAGAGTATCCGTTCCTAACGTAAAGAGTTTGAAATAAATGTTGAAATCATGGTTTGAATAATGGTTTTTGATAAATGTATTATACATTATGGCATCGAATGCATCAAAGGGTCTATAATTGTCGCCAATTATCGTATGAATGAATGCATTCTCTAAACATTAAATAGTTTTAGTGTTTGTCTGAAGCGGTTCTCAACGTTACCTCAGATACTATTCACTAAAAGAGTTTCAAAATACACAACCACTCAGTTATTAGCCGCCTATAAATCAACTTTTCATTATATGTTAATTTGACCTCAAAATAATCTTCAGACAATAATTGATTATTATAGATTGCATGTCCAATCAAATTCTGATCATTCAATTTACAACTTCTCCATTTATTTTATCATGCAAATAATATTAACTGCAAAACAACACCAAACTATTTTAATATTTAAATTGACCAGAATTTTAACATAGGTAAAACAACTAAAACAACCAGCCTTTTAAACGTAATGGAAATTTAAATATTTTAAAAATTTATAAAAATATGACTTTTTAAATATATTTATGCTAAACATATGGCATCTGCTGTTTATTTAATGATATTTTATTTAAAACCTTATATAATAATCATTTAACTTTAAAGGCATATACAATAGGACAGGATTTAGTATGAGAAACATAATATTAAAGCATTGACTGTATTAAAGCTTGATATCGCGTATTGTATGGTATTGACTCACAGATGGGGCGTTTATTATGTTTCTCATACTAAATCCTGTCCTATTGTATATGCCTTTAAAGTAACTAAAGTGGAAAATATAAGTTTATACTATAATTAAGCCAACCGTTTTGGAGCATTTGTGGAGCATTTTTCATAGTTTTGCGCACAATAATGACTATTACAACAATTTGTTCATTTTAAAGCATTAGTTAAATTCTGATTCTCTAACTAATTCATAGTTTTTGTTTAGTCTGCATATTAAATGACTCATTTATTGGTTGCTTTAACNTGCGCACAATAATGACTATTACAACAATTTGTTCATTTTAAAGCATTAGTTAAATTCTGATTCTCTAACTAATTCATAGTTTTTGTTTAGTCTGCATATTAAATGACTCATTTATTGGTTGCTTTAACTATAATTTATACATCCAGATTAGATATTGATAATATATAAATAATCCAGGTAAATTTAATGTTACAATTTATTCTAGTATAGAATTTAATGATCAATACTCTGTTAGTACTAAATTCAAAATCAATTTAATAAAAGCTTTAATATTGATGTCGCAAACATTCATTAAAATATATAATTTATAGTTTTATATAATAATTATAAAGTATTCCCAAAGAATATCTGTCTCATACATACACCCACTTTCAATAATATGATACATAGTATTAATTAAATGCTAATATTAATAATACTCTATTGACTAGATTCTAGTGACTAGAAATACGAGTTTTTACATAGATGGAAACCAGTGTCACAAATATAACATATTCCGATAAATCTAATTCTGTAACATTAATATCCATAATTTAACATTGAGTATGATAGAATTATTTGAGGATTACTATATAATGAATTTTATATTATATATTTAATACAATACTCAATTATTGATGCCATTTATTCCTACCTATTTGTAAATGAAAGTGACTTAAGACAGGGATGAAGTAATGATGAGGTGATGATCAGATAGAACTGAGAGTGAACTCTATGGACAAGTCTTCAAATTCTGGTAAAACCGCTTTTAAGCCCGTATTATATAACCAATGAATTACTCAATCATTACATACATATCGTTCACAACACAAACACATGTATTAATACAATATCTAATTTAAGAGTATTTAAAATATAACTAATTTATAGATTTATTTTATTTTAAAATATTTATATAAATATAGACTTATTTTATAAATATTTATAAATCAACGAAACAAAAGTTTTGGCAATGATTTGATAAAAACAATTGAAAACTAATAATTAATTTGTGAGAGAAAATGTCAAATTCAGTTGAAAATCATCTGAATGTCTTCGACTATTTGGTCTTCGCTCTCATGCTTACCATTTCAGGTGATTTACAATACATTTTTGGATTCATTTTTCACAGAATATCTCTTTATATTCTCCAATAATAGCATTGATTGGCATTTATTACAAATTAAGTGGTGGTCGACAGCAAACAAATGATGAATATTTGTTAGCAAACAAACAAATGTCAGTAATTCCGGTCTCATTCTCACTGATGGCCAGCTTTCTGTCGGCGATAACTCTTCTGGGAGTGACGGCAGAGAATTACATGTTTGGCACACAGTTTGTGGCCATAAACCTGTCGTACATCTTAGGCGCCCCCATATCTGCCTATATATTCCTTCCCGTCTTCTATAAACTCAAAGTTGTCTCTATTTTTGAGGTATTAATTCATCCAATTATCGTACAATTGATAACAGAATTATTGATTTAATTGTACAGTATTTAGAGCATCGGTTTGACAGAAGGGTACGAATGGTCGCATCGATTGTGTTCACATCACAAATGATAATTTATATGTCAATTGTGTTATACGCGCCCGCATTAGCACTCAGTGCGGTCACCAGTCTTTCCAAATGGACAGCGATCTTATCGGTTGGCATCGTTTGTACACTTTATTGCACTATCGGTGGCATCAAAGCTGTCATTTGGACGGATCTGTTTCAGTCATTCCTAATGTTCACAGCAATGATTATTATCATAATTAAAGGCACTTATGATGTGGGAGGGGTTGATGTGGTCTGGGAAAGGGCTCGACTCACAGACAGATTGCAATTATTCAAGTATTTAATTAATTCATTGTTCATTTTATTATATTTTCAATACATTTGTGTTGTTGTAAACGATCTTCAGTTTAGATCCAAATCCAATGACAAGACATACGTTTTGGTCGCTAACAATTGGAGGAATCTTCATATATGTGTCTATTTATGGCGTCAATCAAACACAAGTGCAAAGACTGTTGACAGTCAGGAGTTTACAGAAATCTCAAATGTATGTCATTTAAAATATTGATTAATTGATTGCAAACTAAATGATTTGATTGTAAAACAGGGCGCTTCTCATTAGTTGGCCCATTACTACATTGTTGGCTCTGATCACAGCTTTCACTGGTTTAGTCATTTTCGCCAATTACTGGAAATGTGATCCTCTCATGAAAAAACATATCACAAAATCAGATCAATTGTTGCCATATTTTGTTATGGACTCGTTGTCCTCATATCCAGGTCTTCCAGGCGTTATAATCGCCGGCATTTTTAGCGGTGCTTTATCTTCAGTGTCTTCATTCGTTAATTCTTTGGCCGCCGTTTCGTTAGAAGATTACGTGAAACTGTATTTCGGCAATAGATTGTCGCAGAAGTCTGAGACCATAATTACTAAATGTTTAGCACTGTTTTATGGCTTACTTTGCGTTGCGTTGACTGTAGTGGCCGACCAAATGCCTGGTCTACTCCAGGCCTCGCTTACCATTTTCGGAGTAGTCGGCGGACCACTACTCATGCTGTTTACAGCCGGAATGTGTTGTCCAACTTGTGATTCTTGTGGCGCTTTGATTGGATTTATCGTTAGTCTCGCGGTTGGCTTTTGGCTCGGTTTTGGGAATCTGTTATTCGGCACAAAACCTGTTCCTCTCATTCAGTCCATTGAAGATTGTCCTGAAATTGGCTTCAATTCTACTCAAACACAACAAACAGCGTTCAATTCTGAAGAGAATTCATTTTCAATATATAATCTCTCGTATATGTGGTTCTCTGCCTTCACGTGGACTATAGGTCTGACCGTTGCGTTAATTATAAGTAAATTAAATAAAAGTACAAAAGAAGTAAATCAACAACTTTTGACACCATTTCTAAGAAATGAATCAAATTCTGAACAAAATGACGAAACAATGAATAGATTAAAGTTAACTGAAATATAAAACAATTTTTATTTTTATTAATTATCTCTTAATAGTATTTGTTGTTATTTGTGATGACATAGACTTTAAATAAAGATTAATTTACAAGAAAACGATTATAATATAAAACTTTTTAACATTATTTATATAATATATAAAACAATTTATAGAATGATTAGAAGGAGAAATTGGGAGCAGTTTGGTTGAGAGGACTGTCAAGACTAGTATTTAAAAGGACGTCCTCTTCAAGTGACAGATCTCTGGAAAAGTAAGTATCGATGAGATGAGTGGCCAAAACAGCCACTCCTGTGTTGCGATTATTCTGCAACTCTTCGATGTGATACGAAGCTGAGGAGAGCTCACACTTCTGGATCACTTGATTGAGAATCTTCACCCGTTTGGCAAACAGTAGTAAATTGTTGTAAAACTTGAGACACGTCTCCACTGTCTTAGCGTCGATCGACGTGAGCAGTGTTGCCATTGCGTCGATTGAGTCCATATTCGCTACATTGTTATCGATGTTAATAATATAAGCAATTTGTTGTGTGGAACCAATTGCGGTGATGTTGAGCAATACATGACTGGCCTCTACTTGAGTCCTATATTCTCCCATATATAACAGTTCGACAATAATTGGCATTATTTTGGCGTCGATTACGGCCTGAATCTGGCAATAATTGCCGGCTGTTATGTTGGAAACAGTAAACGCGGCCTCTCTTTGGACTTTGGGGTTGTGGTGTTGGAGTAATGCATCAAATTTGGCCAGAATTCGCGTCTGAAGTACTATTTGGGTATAAGACTCGCCCCAAGAGATCAGATTCCCGATCACACGCATGGCATAGAATGTGTTCTCATCCTTCGACGACAAGTTCTCTATAATCGACTCCAATAGCAAACCATTGCTGACTACAGTGTGGACTAACTCGAGATTAGGAGCGGAACCGGTTTCAGATAATGTGGCCAAAGGCTCAGTGGTAGACGAGAGTGCTTTCAGCACATTAGCCTTCACCTCATCGTCGCAATAGTTTAACAATTTAATAAAGTATGAGATCAAAGCGATGGCCAACTGATAAGAAGTGGCGTTCTTTTGCTGACACATAACCATCAGAGACCATGAAATGGTGCGAACCAAAGCCACCCGACCATCGGTTCGGTCGTATTTCGATGGACTCACTGATGTCTCCGATTCAATCAGCGCTGCCATTACTCTCACAAATTCTGTGCCATTAATTAGTTCTCGTAATTCTTGTCCGCAATTCCATATATAAGTCAACGCGAGAACTGATTCTTCCATAACTCCGAAACTATCGTAGCTCAAGAGTGGCATAAGATTGGCAACTATTCCCTGCTTAACCAATACCATGGCCTCATCGCTTCCACCCGAACATAATTGAGCCAATAGTGCCACCACTTCGTAGAGGACACCCATTGAGCACTCGTTGCTCGACAGACAACCTATCAGTTTAACCGCCATATCGTCCGACAATAAATGTCTCATCAGTTCTGCCTCTTCATCAGTGTTTGGTTGTCGTCCCACTGGTATCAGAAGCCGTAACTGACGGATAGATTTCGATGGCATGTCCCACACGTTTCCCGCTTTCAAACCCATCAAAACCTCATTGATATTCACGTCATTCTCAAGTTCTTCTTCGATGTCCTCGCCATCAGACCAGTTGTCATACAACGATATGTTACGNATTTCGATGGCATGTCCCACACGTTTCCCGCTTTCAAACCCATCAAAACCTCATTGATATTCACGTCATTCTCAAGTTCTTCTTCGATGTCCTCGCCATCAGACCAGTTGTCATACAACGATATGTTCCGCCTTCTGTCCGTATTGTCGTCTCTCCTCTGTTTGCGTAACTCCACAATCGTTTCGCTGCGCCGTCGCCTCAATTCCTTCAAATCAAATCCAATCCATAATTAAGGATACAATCAATGAACGAATGGTAAAAACAAAGAGCGAACAAACCCTTGGATTTTTGTCTTTGTTTTTATAGGATTCACTTCTGGGCGACGCGTGGTTTGGACTCAACTCCGATGACATCGGACTAAATGAATGGCTTTTGAATGCAATCATCGCTTAATTGATGTGAAAAGTGGTCACAATTGGAGCCAAAGTGTTGTGAATGTTGTGAGAGTTGGCGAGCATTGGATTCAACGCTTGCGAAGTGTTTCCCAAAAATGCATTCAAACAAAGGTTTCGCTAATAAATGACTATTAATTGGATTCACAGGTAATGAGTGTTTGAATGCGTTGTAAGAGTTGACAGTGAATGCAAACTAACATAACATTGCAGTCAATACTATTGACATTCATTTGTTGTGATTTGCGTTTAAAGGTCTCTCCAGTCATACCATTGGCTGAGAGAGTGATGTGTGAGTGAGAGGACTGAGAGAGCAATTGACTCCGTATTCGCTTTCATTACACACTTTTCATATGTTTTTCACTCTTTAGTGAAAACTTTTTTCTAAGAATGAGTCGATTATTGGGAATTTGAAACACATTTTGAATGCTTTAAGTT